CCCCGTCCCCTGCAGAGCGGAGGCAGCCGAAAGCGCTGCCCCCCCCCCCCCCCCCTCCCCCTTGCAGACCCTCCTAGCAGAGCGGTGGGGAGGGACGAAAGCGCTGACCCCCCCCCCCTGCTGAGCGGAGGGGAGGGGCGAAAGCGCTGACCCCCCCTCCCTGCAGAGCGGAAGCGGGAAGGGCGAAAGCGCTGATCCCCCCCCCTTGCAGAGCGGAGGCGGGGGGGGCGAAAACGCTGACCCCCCCCCTTGCAGCAGAGCAGAGCTTAAGCGAAGCTCAAGCTCACGCTCTTTTAAACTCTCACGCCGGATCGGCGGACATCTATTATTATATTTATATATATATATTATATACATACATATACATATATACATATATACACATATATATATATATATATATATATATATATATATATCGTCCCCGAACAGTGCTTGCATGCTGTGTTTCTTCTTTCTCTTCTAAGCAGATGGGTCGGTGTGCCACTTTTGCGGCTCTGTTGTCGCCGTCGCCGCCCCGTCGCCGCCTCGTCGCCGCCCGTCGTCTGGGCCGGTCGGCTGCTCTGGCGGCTATGTTGTGGCCGTCGCCACCCCGTCGACGCCTCGTCGCCGCCCGTCGTTTGTTTTATGCGTAAGGACTTCGCCCCATGCCGCCGGCCCCCTGTCTCGGATAATGAGAGATGCAACAGCTAAATCATGAGGTCTGGGCGCCGCCGTGAAGCAGTGTCGGGACCTGTTTGTTTTTCGACCCTGACCCCGCCCCGCCGATCTGCGTGAGGGGTGCCGCCGAATTTCAGGAATGTTGCGCATCACCTATGTTTTTGGACCCTGACCCCGCCGATCTGCGTGAGAGGTGCCACCGAATTTCAGACATGTGGCAAATCCCATGTGTTTTTTGACCCTGACCCCGCCGATCTGCGTGAGGGGTGCCACTGAAGTTAAACATGTAGCAAATCCCATTTGTTTTTGAACACTGACCCTGCGGATCTGCGTGAGGGGTGCCGCCGAACTTCAGAAATGTGGCGCATCCCCTGTGTTTTTGGACCCTGACCCCGCCGATCTGCACGAGGGATGCCACCGAATTTCAGACATGTGGCAAATCCCATGTGTTTTTTGACCCTGACCCCGCCGATCTGCGTGAGGGGTGCCACAGAAGTTAAACCATGTGGCAAATCCCTTGTGTTTTTGGACCCTGACCCTGCGGATCTGCGTGAGGGGTATGAATTTGCACCCCCCCTAAGAAATTTTAAGAACCCTCCCAGGGCTTGGTAGTTCTGTTGGTTTGGGCCACCCCCCCCCGCGCGTTCATCAACAAGGAACAGTAAGCAGCAAGAAGCAGAACTGTAACAGTGGAAACTGGAAGCTGCAACTGGTACAGGGAGCAGCACATTCCCGGCCTACAGCCTGGTGGCGCCGCAGGGGTACTGGCGGATTTCCCCCAAGCAGTGCTTGCACCACATAGATTACACCACGTATGTTGCCCCACATGGCAAGCATCACATAGACTGCGCGATTTTTTTTTTCGCGCCTGCTGCGCTTTTCTTGATCGTTCAGAACACTGCGCCACATACATTGCACAACGTAGGCTGCACCATGTAGATCGCGCAACATATAGTGGGGACGCGCGCGCATTAAGACACCAATTCCTTTTCGTCAGGATACCATGGGTTTCGTCGCTCCACGCTCTGCGCCGTGACTTCCCGTGGCCGTTGAAGAAGGTGGTGCGTTCAGGGTGTTCCCCTCGCTTGCACCTCGCGCGTGCGGGTTTCGGGGCTTGGTTTCTTGCGAGGGTTTCTTGCGGCCGCGCCCGCAGTGATTAGATCCACAACATATATCGCACGACATATCTGCACATCACAGATTGTACTACCTCTATTATACAAATATTGCACAACATTGATTCTCCTTAAAAAGGAAATAGATTATACCACCCTTCCCCCCCCGGACTTATTGATTCCCCGGGACCCTATGCACAACACGTACAAGTCTGACCCAATGTCCATCCCACCTGTGAACTCATACTGTCCCAGCCAGGCCAGTATCGCCCCCCCCCTCGGTCCCCTGGCAAAACATACTGTACGGTAGCATCTTTTGTTATTACATACGACTTTTGTCCGCGAGCCTTTTGTAAAACATACAATGCGGGGCACACACGCGCGGCCGCTGCGCACAAACTAATTTGCAACACAAATGATAAATTCTACCCGCACGCGCTTTCCGAATCCTAAAGAACCAATGGATGTTCAACATGTATGTCCTGCGAGCAACGTATGCGCGCGCGTCGAACGCCTTCAACATCGGTCGTGTTCCTGCCAGGCCCACAATCCTTTGTAAAACAAACCATGCGGAGCACATGCGCGCGGCCGCTGCGCGCGCATGTCGAAATCCTTACCAACACATTGTGTGCTTCAACAATTCGAACAGCTTGTTTCAAGAACACCTACGAAAGCATACGACTTCTTTAACCCAAGAATTATGAAACATCTTCCCGCGCGCTCTT